CTGAGAATGAGGTGAGGTTGGGCGCTATTGGTGGGCGTGGCGCGCACGAAGTGGGCGATTTCATAACTCGGTTCCAAGAAGTCCCGGAGACAGGGAAACAGTGGAAAGAGTCTAGCAAAGGAACAGAGTCACACGCTACCGGCGGACGTGGTGCTCCCGTTATTTGGCGGAATTTGCCGCCGAATTTATAACTCGTTTATATAGAGTCCCGGAGACCGGGAAAAAAGTGCAATGAGTCAGACAGTGGAATAGAAGCTGTGGTAGGTGGGGCGTACACCAGTGTGGGCGGAGTTATCCACGAAACGTTATAACTCGGTTCCAAGAAGTTCTAAATATCAATGAAAGAAGTGGGTAGAGCCTGACAACGGAAGGAAGGTCAATTGCTATTGGTGGGTAGCATCGAGGTAAGCCGAGTTTGCCACGAAGCTCTGGAAGTATCGATGGCCCTTTTTACTGGTATAATTATAAGATAATGGTAGGATAGGACCTTATCGTCACTGCATCCAGATCATCACACGAAGAGGACTCCAACATCTGTCATTTGTTCAATTGCATCAATTGTAGACCATTTATTACCCCTTCCGTTTTACAATCACTATTTTGAACAAAACTAAGAGAGCAAAACACTGTACTTGGGATAAGGGCGCTAGTAGCAATCATGCCCAGTCCCTTATAAATTCGTCCGTTTCAGCATTATATCGATAGTTGTGAGTAAGGAATAGTCCATTTCTGGGACCTATTTGGTAGGTTAGCGTATCATCCAACCACGAAGAGCAAGGCATCAGGATAGGGTGTTCAAAGTGCCATTTCTGCCTGAAATGTTGTCAGCAGAGTGGTTATAAGATACATTTATAATAAAAGTATAAATTTATATCTATATGTATCACTATATTGTATCCCTGTATGAGTAATTGAAGACCTGGTTGAGGCTCTCTAGTAATTCCGCAACGCTTGCCCACAGCACAGGCTTTTTTATTTAGTTGGCCTTTTTGCTATGCTACGGAACTTGCTCCCTTGCAGTCGAGTAGATCCACTCGGAATTGAACGCATGACGCAAAAGCGTGGCCCGAAGACTGTACACAGCGTGAAAATCGTGTTGAGGAAGTGGTCGCAGCACTACGGCCCCTCCCTAAAATCAAGGTCTGGTACGATCCCCGAGAAATGTGAGGTTTAGAGAACGGAGGGGGCGTCGGCCGATTTTACCAAGCAGTTTTGGTGGCGACGGTTTATACAGAGTCTAGCATCCACTGAAACACGCCCCAAACCATGAAAATCTACACCCTCGCTTGAAGAGTACCATTCTCTCATTACTGACCTTTTAAGAGTAGGTGCGTAGGCGACGTAGATAGAGGTAGGTTTCTCGTTACCAACCAATGTTGAAATTGCTTTAAAACCTTCCACTCAGAGGGATAGGCTCACTCGAACTGCGTCGGGTCAGCGTCGAACGCTGAAATTTTCATGCAAGTACTTGCCACTAAAAGGCAATATCTCTCTACTCGGTAGCACTCAAAAAAAAAAACGAATAGTTTTGGAAAGTGGAAGGTTAGCTGTGTTGTTTTAGCTATCGGAGTTTAGCAATGCAGTATGTGATTTTCAACCACTGAAAAATGCGCTTCTTCGTCCACAATCGCAAGACAATTCGTTGGCAATTCTTATAGCTAGAATACATTCTTCCAATGTAAGGCCGATCAGGAAATGAGCAATAGCTATCGTAGGATTTCGTCTTGGTATAGCCATGTATCCAACCTCCATTCAAAGTTGCAGAATCGGTTGTATGTGATCAGGTGAAGGGAGATTTGTCGTCCATCACAAGACTGAAGGAAAAGCGCCTCACCCCTATGCTTTACGTAGACTTTCAGCTCGATAGCAGTAGCTGGTAGGCCCCGCTATTTTTAGTGGAGGTTATGTGGACGGAGCAGGTCACTGCTATTGGCCCAATGATATAGAAGCTTAACGTAGGTTTTGTACCCACTCGTGTTCCTCTGTTGGTCCCAATCTATAGCTGGTATCCACAAAAATTTGATCTATTGCCCACGCGTCTTCTGGTTGATTGTTGAATCGGATAAATATAGCATCAGCACGTGGAGCACAGTCGAAATTGAGCTGAAAAAAAAAACTAAGGCACGTCCCATGGTAGCAAATACGGTTCAGTTGGGTTCGTACATGAGACAGTAAAGGGGGAACAACAGTGGAGGCCAATCAGCCAGCGGAGAGGAGACGGGCGTCGATAAAGCGATTCCACCGAGCGCCCAGCTCTTACAGTATAACTTCAGTTAATCATTAATGAGGAGCGTCGTGTGGGAAAATCTCAACATGGAGAAATGAAAAATTTAGAATGTTCCCTCTATGACACACTCAACACCATCACACAAGAAAAGATGAAACTAGTCTCTCCGTGGACGATGCCTTTAAGTAATAGTGCCGAAGTCAACCATCCAGCTCGCACATTTCCAAAAAAAGCCCACGAATGTAATATTTCGTAATTACTACTCTTTAAATTTGTTACGTACTGCACCTCTTCAAAGCAGTCATCCAGAGAACCTGCACCATGAAGGTTTCCTTTGAAGGAGCCCTGAAAGGACGATTATATCTAAAATTCGGATAGGTGGGAAGGAGGTAGGATAAGTTATTGCTCAAAGCACACTCCGCGATTGAATAGGCATAGATTGCGTGCTAGAAAATGGAAGTAGGTGTGGTGGTTGGTTTATCAGAGATGAAAGGAAGCGAAAGAAATTTCAATGCCCACAATGCGCAGGTGGCGGGTTTGCAGCCCCTCTGGAAACCTCAGTGGATCCCATCTTTCAACCGTATTTTGCTACACCAGAGGAGCGGCTAACCAATGAAAATTACTAGGGGGGGGGAATATAGACTCTTTGAGGCGTTTGGGCGCATAATTAATCTACAGTTGCTTAAGGGAGCCGGACAACCTATAAAACAGTATACTTTTCCTGCCGAACCAGTTTCGACCAAAAGCGGAAGGATAAAAGTCCGAGTAGCCGATAGGAAACTGATCCACGAAAAAGTCGGGTGATAGCCGGCCTACTTCTTGACTATTTGTCATTTGAAGAAAAGAAAAGCAAAAAATACTATTGATTAGTAGGCTGGAATTCTA